CATTGGAACTCCTTAATAATTTAAGCAAGTAAAATAAAAATTTATAAACAATTATTAACCATAAATATCCACCATCGCCAAACCCCCAATAGACGACTATCACATATATTCACAAAAAAAAAACATGACAATGCAGCAAAGAATGAAACAAATTTTCAAAAATCCGAAAATGGAGAAAAAAGAAGAGTGGTAAAGAAAACAAAAAACAAACATTTCTTTGGAAATTAGATAAGGGCCCAACATATTTCCTTTGGGAGGTGTGCAAGTACCAAACTTTACATCATCTCAGCAACGATGACAGACGGATGGAATGGCTTTACTTAGATTTTTCCGTATGGCATTTTCAATTATGTGAAAAAAATTCTAATCTCTACAAAAGTGAATTTTTAAGATATTTATATTACACATTTTGGTAACATTTTTTTGAAAATTTAACGTCATAAATTAAAATTCAGAAAAATAGAAGGGCCTGCAGTACAGTTTGAAATTTTTAAAATCCGGAAAATTAAACAAAATTTTAAAAATTCCAAAAATTCAAAGATAAGAACTCAACTTTCGCTTTTAAAAATAGTATTTTGCCAAATTAATTGATCCTAATTACAATTGTTATTGTACGAGTATGTAGGTATGTTGTATGAAAATCCGAACGGCAAAAACTATAAAATTAGGCATACAAAAAAATTCAATGTATGAAAACTTAAAAGAATTAAAAAATATTTGGAAAATTTAAAAAAATCAAAAGAATGAGAAAAAATTCAAAACGATCTCGCAAAACTAGGAAACAAGCTGTGTAGAAACGGCCTGTAAGTTTAGGATATCGTTTACATTATTCCCAACTAATTAAGTATATTAAAAAAGTTGGCATAAGAACCAAAACAAACATTTTTAGTAATTAATATAAGGATGCACAAGTCGCAAATTTCGCGTTTCTCATCTTTACCACTATAACACATAAGAGGATAGAACTGCTTTGATTTTTCCCCGTACGCTCTTCCCAATTCCAAAATCCCTATCCCAAAATGGTACGAAAAAATTCTGATCTCGACACTCATATTTAATTAACTCCTGCGGTATATTAAAAAAAATACCCAGAGCTAATGGTGGATTTGATATTTTCATGCAGCACGAAAGCTTCCAGGTACCATATACAGGGTGACCAGTATGTCTGAAATATAGTATATATCTCGGTAAATACCGACCGAGATAACGACTGTATACAACCTTTTTCTATATAAAAGTTGTTTAATATTCTATTTACCATGATAGGATGATTTTATTTCAGGAAACACATGAGTAACGAAAAACAAGTGATTTTTTTAAATACCAATGTACCCTTCCATTAGGCTCGTTTTTCATTGTACTCGTAGAAGAAATTAATTTTTTTTTCTACATTAAAGTTATATTGATTTAATAACTTAATATAGCTTTTAAATTTTTTTTTTTAAATTTTTTGCATAAGGGTACCAACATATTATTATGTTATCGAAAAGAGGAAAAAAGAAATATATTGAGATCCAATTTGGTACTATATTTTCATTAGCCATAAATATGGAGTTTAAAATCAGATCATTCTTTTTGCTATGTAACCAAGCACCCGTTTTGCGTCACAAAATCTACCAAACTTAATGAATACACTGTATATAAAAGCACTCAACCGGGCGCTTCATTACTAGAAACCGTAAGTTCTGGAAAGATTTATTTATCTTACAGAACTTGGCAATGAAGTGCAGCATTAATCACTAACAGTAAAAACAAGATACCGTATAGAATTGATCAGTTTTGCAGCATCTGAAATCTCTTGTCATTTGAAATGTAACGAAACACCTATTTTCCGCTTTACAATTTCATACCCGAAGTTATGACCACAGCGTATATTTGTGGATTCGACCGGCTTTGCAGAACACCCTGTATCTAGAAGCGTTAAGTTAGGCGTTTCGTTACGAAAAGTGTCCTGCCGAAAGTATTTGTGTTGATTCTAAAGGTTATTGATCTAATTTCTACAGTTGCATTTCAGTCACCGCTACCGTATATAACGCTGCACTTAATTCGGTGTTTGCAACCGTTCCCGTGAAGATATTTTAATTGTCTTTGTTGCGTTCGAAAGCTCTTGTCATTTAGAAGAAGAGTGCAATTTAATGTTTTAGACTTTCAGTTTCCTATGGTAAATTAAAACGAGCATCAAAACCGTTATCAGGTGGATAAGTCCCGACGTGAGGAATTTCAATTAACAATAGGTGTCAATTGGACTACCGATTTTAGTAATTTCAATCCGGTCAATTAAGTACCTAAGTGAAATTAACAGTAGTTAAATAAATGTATTGGAGTAAACGTCATTCCACAAGAAAAAAGAGGGGCAGATATTGTTACACTTTCCTGCATTAAATTTGCTTTCCCCTAGACACCGCTACCGAATCCGATTATTTACTATTCGCGCTTAGGGAAACTGCTCTGCGCTTTAATTTTGTTTTAGCAATCACCAGTACCCGGCCAGCGCGTACCCTTTAGAGGCCGAAGCTGCCGTTTACTCCGGTTGAGTGTGGCCGAGGCTTCCGAGACTGATTCACCAAACCGTTGCTACCGCCGAGCTTGACCAGGAGCAAGTCTCTTCGTTTTATTTCCTGTTCCCGTTCCCGTGGGATTTTCGGAAAGTGTTCTACTCACTCAGAAACTTTCGCGAGCATACGTCCAACATCCAAGTTTAATCGAAATCGTATGAACGGTTTAGACAGGCATAAAGACAGATAGACACATTCATGTTTGTTTATATAGATAATAGCAGACTCCATGAACGTTGTATCGCCTATCTCGGCAAAGCTCGGTACATTGACTTTGCTCACATTTTGATATAATGCCATTACACTGTGCACATTTTAAATCCTATGAGGTTTTGTGAGTTAAGAGATGCGGTTTCAGGGCATGGTGTTGATGTGTTGTAAAATCACACTGTGCACATTTTAAATATTTGAAAGAATTGTGAGTTAACACTAAACTTTCTGGTACCGGCACATGAAAAGCGTACAGTGGTCTATGACTCGCGCCGAGTTTGTATAATCACACTGTGCACATTTTAAATTCTTTGAACTCGTGTCCTTATTTGAGAATATGTTGAAGATTTGTTGTAAAATTGCAATGTGTACAGTTTAAATCTTTTGAAGTATTCTGTATTTGTAAGAGGCAAGCGTTTATTGCTCATTATTACACGCTACGTGTTTACAGTTAATCAAAATCGCGAATACCTGTGCCTATACCAATCATTTTTTAATTTGATAATTTTTAATTTGACGGTTGGTAAAATTGAAAACACTTGATTTGACGGTTGTTGTCATTAGTTCTCGTATTTAATTTTCTTTTGTATGACTCTAATTATGTTTCAAAACCGTATTATTTTGATTCTCCATTTTTTCTCTTAAATGCGGTTAACCTGTGGTCCAGTTTTTGCCAGTAATCGCAACTCGGTTCCTTGTTCTGGATAATTACAAACAGGAATCGCACAGATTCTTGATCATTGACTTCCACTTCCACTTCGGAAATTTCTTTCCACCTCGCCTTCGCCAGCTTCAAAAATACTTATGGGTGAAACTGTAAACTCCACCAATTGAAATACTAAGCTCAAATGAGGTGCTCCCATATGTATTTGAAGAAGAATATTTTTGCAGAGCCATTCCCAAGCCTTGCAGCCTTTGCGAAAGGATCTGTGACTTGTGAGTGACAAGTAGGCACCTCCTTGGAAGTGAATCTTTTTCAAAATGTAGGAATTTCAACCTTTGTTTTTGGTTTCGATCACCCATTCTTTTGATAAGCGATTAGACAAATTTCCACTGGTCGCGTTGTTCAGGATAAATACATTCCCAATGATGTAACAAGCTACAGTAACTCACGTTCTCTTTTTTCATACATCCTTTCGTGACTAATTTAAATTGCCTCATTGCCATCTTTACACTTATCAACGTAAAAAAGCGACACATTTAAAAAGGATCAAAAATCTAGGTTATTTAGTCGACAGAACCTCGTGCCCTTGACATTTTCGTGCTTATAATATCCTGATTAATCGTAGGTACATTATTAGGCTTGCCTTTTAGCCTATATAATACAAATAAGGTGATCCTTTTTTAAGCGGTTTCCAATCCGGAGAAAGATGATAAGTGTAAAATCTCTAATAACCTACTTTGAACGTGAGTGAGACTAATAATCGACCAGGAAGTTTGGGCAACGGTTCATCAATGAAGGTATTGTCGTGTTTATTGATTAAAAAGCAACTACCGATCAATGCGTGTTAAAAGTCATTATAATGATCGCGACCTTTCTAGGTTAACAAAGGAATATTGTAATTATATTTGCAAGTAATACTAATCTCTATGTAGATGTTAATCGGGGAGAGGAAACTTTCCACTTTTCTGATTGCGTAATCAACAAATAATTCTTAATTTGAATAAAGCATATAGAACAAGAACTATTAACTACTAATGATACTTGAACAAATGTTACTTGTTGCTTGTCCTTATTTTTTTTATAAATCGTGCCTGTCTTTTTTATACAATTAGACTTTTGAAAGTTTGCCATTTAAAATTGTTGAATAATGACTAAACAAAGAGTTCGGTAGGCAGTTGTGGTAGGTACTAATTAATATCGAAATGCTCATTTTACTATGATGTTAACCTTGCTGGTATGGTTATGAAGCTGTTATTTATACGTGTGAGATATATTTTAAATAATTTATATCAAATACAGACAGCGTGACTGCTTTGGTATGGAACGAAGTGGAATTGAGGTAAGTAATAAACAAACCGACCAATAAATTTAACGAGCTATGATCTGAGACAAATAAACATGTTTATTGAGTTCACAAATGAAGATAATAAAATTGAAGAAGAAGAATGCGCGATTGCGTTTTATTTTCTGTAGTGTTAATTCCGTTTAGTAATAAAACTACGGGGTAAGATCAGTTCTATAGTCATAAGCCGTATAATAATGAAACCATTAAGTTTATCGTGATTAACGTAGCCGATCTAGCAAAAGTTCTCTGGTAGTACAAGACAATGGGGGAACCTTGTAGTAGTTAGTTACATGACCGGCATTAGAAAATGCGACTATACCAATCGCTACCGTTGTTTCTTTCTTACAGCTTCGAGGTTATTGATGCAGCTCGACTCGGGGTAAGTTGCTGCCTACTTTAGCAATATCTGTAATATTAGTTAAACGAAATGAAGTCGAACCGGACTCGCGCTTGATTTACGTCCCTAATATACATACACATATCCAAAACGGTTATAATATTCCGCGTTTTATTATCGGCCATTGGTAATTCTCCATTAAACGTATTTATAAAGCCACAGACCATCATTTATACGCATTGATTGTAAAAACCTCACTTTAACAGAGGAAGAGTCCGTAAGTGTTTTCGAACTTTTATGCTTTACCGCAAACTGCGCAAACAGCGATCACCATTAAAGAGACCTTTAAGCAAATCGCTTAGAAACAAATCAACACATCGATTATAATGACGATTGATTTTACGATTGTTTAATACCCCTTTTGTGTTTCTCGTTCTTCACGATTATTGTAAAAGCTCAGTACATTATCATTTAAACATTACAATGTCTATCTGTCCACCTAACGGACATGACCTTTTCAGAAAACATCCCCAGATATACACCTACATTCTACAATCACTAATTATCCCAAAATCTGATTAACGATCAAGCTGTGTATGTATCGATGTCCTCTACGTCATCCATACTTACTTTGAATTAACGTTTATACTGAATGTGCACTATGGAACGCAAAACGTTTGTGCCATGAATTTGAAAACACCCTGTGATAACAAAATTTATCAATAATATTTGAACAATAAATAGAAAGTCATTAGTAGTTATTTACATAAAAGTCAGGAAAATGACATATTACTGGCGAGGAAATATTGAAGTACCAGTTACTTTTGCGAAGTTGATAAATGAAGACAAAGTCCCCCATGCTGCCCAGAAAGTAAACAAATGCTTCTGAAGATATTCGAAAAATTGAAATTTGTGAATTTTTTAATTTTCTCTTGTTTAATTTCAAAAGATTTTTGAAAACAAATGACACTTGATACTTTTTCTCCCGCTAGGTTGCATGATTAAATTTTTTTAGCGCAAGGAAAGCTTTCGGTTTTACTGTTGAATCTAATTATATTGCAGCAAAAAAAGAAGTTTTTAAATTTAAAAAGGCAATATGTTATTGCGACAAACCAATAACAGAAACGACTGATACGGAAATACTTATTAAACATCGAAAAAATAAAATTTCTTTGGTTCCGTAAAGTAGCTTACAATGTAGCATAGAATCATAAAATATAAGATATCTTTATATTATATCCAAATTGAAAGCTCTCTTTGCACAAAATCTTAGTAATGTAACGTAAATTTAATTACGTGAGATTTATTTACAATTAATTAACAATACATTTAAAACAAACAAAATAAAAACAAAAGTTGGAAACTGATTCAACAGGATGGTGCACCCGCGCACAAAGCCCTAATCGTGCGATAATACACATCAGACATATTTACCATTTTCCAGGAAATTTGTCCGATAGGTATTCTCGTACGATTAGGGCGTTGTGCGTAGGGGCACCATCCTGGTGAAACTAACAGTTTCCAAATTTGTTTTTTTTGTATGTCATATATCGTTGTATTCGTAATAAAAATGCTACTCAATACAGTCTGTAATTTTTTAACGGGCCATATAAATAAATAATGTTGATGATGGTTTCACGAAACGAAACGTTGTATTGAAAATTTCTCAACCTTGTCTTCTAGAGCTTAAAAAGTGGCAATAAGAAAGTGTTTTTTTTTAATTTTTTGTATTTGTTCAAATAACGTCAGAAAAAATTAAAACGAAACCGTCGTATCTTCCTTCTATGGCTTGTAAGAGACCCGTGGTAGACATCCTTACCTTGGACACAGTGTATATAGTAGATAACACCGATTGGATATGATACGTATGTATAGGGATATTTTAACTGTATTATTCGTCCGAAACGAGTGTACAAAAAATTTCAGCAAAAATAAAACTAACGCAAACATTTAAAGAAGAAAAATATTTGAAAATTCATTAAAAATACCGCAAAGTTCCAGGAATTTAGTCAAATTTAAAAGAATTCTAATCAAAAAGCAAAAAGCGATAGATTTAAAGAAAGGAATTAAAGATACATATAGATCTTAAAAATTAAAAAAGTTCTGAATATATCAAATATTCATAAAAATTTCACGTTTTTCGCTTTTTTAGAGCAAATTATTTAGTACAAAATTGCGTTCTCAATTTACAAAAATGGTCATCGTTTTACACCCGGAAAACTAAACGTTGCATGATCCGTGGGTGTTGACCCTTTTTGTAACTAAAGAAACGCATTTGAAATTTTTGAAAAGAACTGACATAATCACCAAATGATAATGGCAAATTTCGTTTTCATTTTCTCTAACTTAAACGGTCGGAAATGGACGGTTCCCATTAGCACCTCCTGTAGATACTTTTCTTCGAAAGAATCTATTATCAGAATTACCATAACACTTTAGCTAAATGTAGAAGCTACAAGCTACGACTTTCTTATACATTGAATTTTTACGGAATGAGATAAGAGGACAAGAACAGAATTCCATTTGAATGCATCGCCGTCATAGCCATGTTGATTCAGCAAGATCTAGTTACCCGTGGATATTTGTTTGGGAAATTAATGTAAAACATTTGATTTTGAAATTTTCCTGTAAATTTATGTAAATGTATGACAGGTTGTTATTTTAATTTTTATCGGTCATTTTCGACCGTTTAAGCAATACCTGAGTTATGTTCACAGATTTTTTAAAATTTCAAATAATAATATTACATTTATTCCATGCACCAAGGTAGGTATAGGGCATGTCAATTATACATATACAAACAAACAAAATGTATCACAGTTACGCAGTTTTAAGGCGTTCAATGCGTTTTTTAATCTCAAAAAGGGACATGCTCCCATTTAACCTGCACTGTATCTCTTACCGTTACGGAGATCCCAATGCTGAGCCACGAATGTGAACCACCCGGTACACATAACTTTATCGTTGTTTCCTATTCCGTAAAACAACTTTGAATGTTTATACATAGTTGCTGGTGTTTTTCGAAAATTTATATGACTCATTTTCAAACGTATAATTCCGTTTTTTAAAATTTTGCTGAATTTTTCGAATAAATAAAATTCATTTTCACGCTTTGTTTGAATTTCTCTTTTACGAAAATTTTTTGAATTTAATAATTTTCAAAGTTGTAAGAGGTTAAGAAAATTTTTCGAAGTTGTCTACATTGTGCAGTATTTTCAATTTCCTTCATGATTTTTTTAATAATTCATAATTTTCGGAATTTTGTCGGAATTTATAAATTGTTATAAATTTTCTCTATTTTGCTCAATTTTGCGAATTTATTAAATTCTTTAAAATTTCAGTAATCCCCCCCTTTTCAGATTTTCTTATTTTTACAAACCTTTTGGTATTTAAATCTCTCTTCTTTGTACATGAGTTTTATTGATATTAAATCGCATCAGTAATAAAGTTAAAATATCCTTCTACAATATCCAACAAAATGTACAACATCAACATTCGTATAGCATATTTTTTTTTATCTATTGGTCTGCCCTTACATCGAAGCTACGTAGGTTTTTTGTTGCGTAAATTTGGTTACCTGTGGAAAGAAATGTGAATGGGCCCTTCTAAAAAAAATAAACAAAAAAGTAGTGTTTTCATTAAATGTTGTTACTGCACTGACTTACTTTTTTTTAATGTGTAGGAGTTCCTTTTCAATCAAATGACATTTTCTAAACGCTCAGAATAAAGATCAAATAAGTTTTGCAAAAGGTAGGGTTCTCAAAAAGTCATTTACGATTGGTGGATACGTGATACAGGATAATGTATTAGCTTTTGTAATAAACATACACCTATCGCCATTAATGGCTTTAGCGTGACACTGTCATAGCCACTGTCGTATTGGAAATTTCGATTATAATGAATTTATTTTGTTAATCTTGCATTTAATTGTTATAATCTAGTTAAATAAAAGTTGTATATAATTTTTAAAAAAATTATAATGATATTTATCTACACTTAATAGGTAAAATTAAAAAAATTGCTCAGTTTTGGGAATTCGGTGGCTTGGGTTTTAGAATTTCTACTTTCGGTTTAGGAGTATAGGGTTTGGATTTTTTGAATTTATTTAATTTTGAGGAACCCTCCACTTTTAAATAATTACAATTTTGAGAATTAATCTCAATTTTCTGTTTCTAAAATTGTGAAATATGTTAATTCAAAAAATATTCTCGAATCGCATTTGACTTTTGAAGCTATCTGAAGCTCCCTAGAAAATGTTTTTCAATATAGAAATTATATTTTTCAATTTAAACTTTTGGAACGTTTCGTTGCGCTGAAGTAGAGAACAACTTGCGCTTTTGAAACGTGAAACATTTAATTGATCTGATGACATACAGAGCAAGAACGAATTCGAGTTGTAAAGCTATCAAAATGGGCAATAAATACTCAGGTTTAATTAGCTGCAAATTTAAATTATGTACTGAGAGGTTTGCAAGCAATGCTTCACAATTCTAAAAAACGAGGATTTCCATTTTCTGGAAGTTTCGAACATTTTTGAAATTACCTTAAAACAAGTCATTAGGATTTGAGTAAAGTAAAATTTTGAAATTTCAACGTTTTACACAAAAAACGGTAGGGCACAGTAAAATCTAGAAGACAAAGAATAAGTGGAAATTAGAAATGAATTTTACGATAGATGCCTGAATACCCATTAGTCTAACGCACAAACTATTAGCTATTGTGATAATTTCGCGGTATCCATTAATTTATATTTTCTGGATGTTTAATGTAGAAGATATAATACGAAAAAAACAGTTACGTGTGCTTATTAATTACATTCACAACAGTTATTTGCATTGATGGCGAAGTTTGGCTATAACAATTTTCGTTCGCACAACGAAAAAAAATTGTTTGTCCCTCATTGTTATCACAAACCTGCTTTTTATAGTTCCGTCTTTCTTCCATCAGCAGCCTCTTTAGAACATAATTTCGCATTAAGTCGCTAATTTATGCATCGCCTAAACAACTACCGTGTGGTAATTTAAATTCTTAGACTTAACAGT